TTCTCCTTCTCCTTCTCCTTCTCCTTCTCCTTCTCCTTCTCCTTCTCCTTCTCCTTCTCCTTTTTTCGAGACAGGATTTCTCTGTGTAGCTTTGTGCCTTTCCTGGAACTCGCTTTGGAGACCAGGCTGACCTCAAACTCACAGAGATCCGCCTGCCTCTGCCTCCCGAGTGCTGTGTTCAGAGGAAATTCAGGTTAAATGTAAGGAATTAGGAGCTACTACATAGAAGTGATAGTTAATGGGATTTAAAAAGATTTGTTTTTATTTTATGTGTGTGAGTGTTTTGCTTGCATGTGTGTGTATATGTGCCATGTGCATGCAATGTCTGCAGAGGCCAGAAGAGGGCATAAGATCCCCTGGGACTGGAGTTACAAGTGATTGTGGGTTACCGTGTGGGTGTTCTCAACTAACCCAAGGTCCTCTGCAAAAGCAGCAAGTGTTTTTAACCATGGGGTTATCTCTCCAGCCCCTCAAAAGTAGAATTCAGTAATAAACACCACTGTGGCTTGAGAAATTGCTATAATAACATCAGATGATATTATCATTGTCCTGTTAACTTCTCCGGGGCCATATTTATATACCTAGTTCTGGCATTTGTGTATTAATAGAAGCTTGGGCCTGGCAAGGATGCCTCTCTGTCTCTCTGTTTCTCTCTGTCTCTCTTCTGAGACAGTGTCTTGGTATGTAGCCAGGTTGGCTTGAACTCTCGAAATCCTTCTGCCTCACGCTCCTTAGGGCGGATACTCTAAGTGTATACCACTGCACCTGGCTCTGGCTGGGCCTTTGGGGTGCCTGAGGAAACCCTGTATGAGCCTGTCTCCTTACGTCTTTCAGTGCCACTCGCCTAACCCAAAGGGGATCAATTCCGTTCTTGCCATATGTTTCTTTCTCTTTCTTCAGGGAGATTCTGGCGGCCCTTTGTCCTGTGAATTAGATGATAAATGGGTGCAAGTGGGAGTCGTGAGCTGGGGCATCGGCTGTGGTCGCCAAGGACATCCTGGAGTTTATACAGACACGGCCTACTACAGCAAGTGGCTGACTGCGGTGGTGAACCAGGCCGCCTGTTTCTGTCCGCTGGTCTTCCTCGTCTCACTACTGTGCTTGCTGGCCTCCTGACACCCTGTGGTCATGGCGACTGCTGCGTCTCATCCCACCCTCCTTCTGAGCCTCTCCCTTTCCTTTCCAATGTCCTTTCTTCAAATTCCGTTTGGGATCCCTTGCCCTGGAGAGAGCCACAGTGAAACGTGTCAGGGATCTGAGACTCCAGAGTGTTCTGGCTTGGTGCTCCAGTCACCATCCTTGGTCACACTACTCCTGAGTTGCGGTCTGCCTGACAGGGATGAAGGCGCATGAATTCCAGTTAGAAGGCAAACCGGCCTGCCAGGTGGATGACAATGGCCTGCGAAAGGACTTCCTCGGTGGTGGAGCGAGCGCTAGACCTGACTATAGTTGTTCAGGGCTCTCACCTCAGACTTTGTCATACCAGAGTTAGCTTGGTGATGAGAGAGAGAGAGAGAGAGAGAGAGAGAGAGAGAGAGAGAGAGAGAGAGAGAGAGAGAGAGGAGAGGACCTTAAGTGTCCTCCTATAACCGTTCTCTCTGTATAATATCTTTGATCTTGTGAAGTTACATTTCTCATCGAATGTAATTTGCAACCATGTTCAAAGATAAAGTGAAATTTGAAAATAATTAAGAAAATGTATGAGCAGATTTCCTTATTTCTCTTCAAGAATTTCCTTTTATAAGTAAAACTAAGGGGATTTCTGAAGTGTCCTGCCCTGTTCAGACCTAATGGCAAGAAGATGGTTGATAACATTGAACTCAAATGTCCTGTGTTTTGGCCCTGAGCAAGCACGGCGCATTTGTAGCATTTAACACTGTTTAACACTCTTGTTTTCCTCTAAGAAAAGCAAATATTGTCTCTGCACTCTTGATTTTCCTTGTGTTGAGGACATTTTACTCTCGGCCAGCAGGAAACAAGAACTAGATCCTGGGCCGAGGTGTCCTTTTTCTTCTCATGTTTACCTTAACTGCTTCTCAGCCTCCCTCACGATGGATCATTTGCATGTTCTCTTTTGTGAACTGTCTTTTCAAGTTTTTTGTCATTTTTAATTCAGATACTTTATATTGCTGACTTTTAAACTATTCTTCATGTATTCTGATAAGAGTATTAAAGTTATGACTTGATTTGCTTTAAACTGAAGGTTGTGAAGAATTTTCTTCCTTCTCCCCCTAGAAAAAAAAGTTTCTAGTTTTAGCATTGGTATGTATATCTATGATCAAGAAATTAATTTTTTTGTTCATGGCATAGGATAGAAATCAAAGTATGTATTTCTATGCCTTTAATGTTTGTTAAATTGTTACAATATGATTTGTTGAGATTCATTTTTTCCAACATCAAGTAATACCACCAACTGACAGTGTATTTTAGCAGCTGTTTCTTGACTCCATTCAGCTCTGTGTCCTCCTACATATTCTGAAATAAAGTGCCACTCAGTCCTAGTTACCATGCTCTCTGGTCTTGAAATGTGGTAGTGTTGTGCCTGCAAATTCATTCACATGTTTTCAAGCCCCAGTCTTCCTGGAATTGATATGCTGAGTCTAAAATGCAGACGGAGGGCTCTGGTGATAACTCGGTTTGTAAGGGGCTTGCTGCACATGCAAGCACGAGGACCTGAGTTCAATGCCCAGCCAGGCGTGGTGGTAGGCACAGGTAACCCTACCGCTGGAGAGCCAGAGACCAGCAGACTGCGGGGACTGCTTACTCCAGGCCAGCCTAACAGGCCAACTCCAGATCCACCGAGAGGCTCTGTCTCAAAAATACAAAGGGGTCAGCTTCTGAGGAATAGTACCCAAGGATTCCCTCTGCCTCCATGTGCATGTTCACACTTGTGCACATGTACCTGCACACACCCACACACACACATCTACTCATAAGCACAAAAATGAAGTGTATATGGAGGGCCTAGAGAGATGGCTCAGTGGTTAAGAGTGCTCGGTGCTCTTGCAGAAGGCCTGATTTTGGTTCCCAGCACCCATGTTCAGCTGCTCAGAACCATCTGTAACTCTAGTTCCTGAGTTTCTGGCCTCTAAGGGCACCTGTACATGTCTGCATACACACTCACAAGTAAAAATAAAATAAATCTTTAAAAAATGTGTATAGGAAAATTAAAGGATGCAAAATGACCAATGCAAACCATACAGGTTTCAAGACTTGAAAATGAAACACTGGTCAATACAGGGCTGTACTGGCATTGGGGCAGAGGTAATAGACCAGTGGAGCAGAGCAGGCAATCTGGAAACAGGCCCACACCTATACAGCCAGACGATTTAAATGAAAGTATTCATGTAACCCAGTGAGGGAAAAGACAGTTTTTTAATTTAGTAAATGCTGCTGAGGGTCTAGGAGTGTACCTCAGTACGGTGGAGCTCTTGTCTAGTGTGCATGAGGACCTTGGTTCAATACCTAGCATCACAAAAAAATAAAGTGTTAGAAAAATGGCCTTTAGTGCCTGGCAGTGGTGGCACAAGCCTTTAATCCTAGCACTTGGGAGGCAGAGACAGACAGATCTCTGTTAATTCCAGGCCAGCCTGGTCCACAGAATGAGTTCCAGGACAGCCAAAGCTACACAGAAAAGCCCTGTCAAAAAAAAAAAAAAAAAAAAAAGAAAGAAAGAAAGAAAGAAAGAGAGAAAGAAAGAAAGAGAAAATGACTTTTGCTCTTCACCTTGCAATGTATAGATATTTCATTCTATTAATTCAAAATAAATTATAGAACTCAATATAAACCACAAATCTATAAGAACCTAGAAGAGGGCTAAAAGAAAAAAAAATCTGAGCCGGGCGTGGTGGCACACGCCTTTAATCCCAGCACTCGGGAGGCAGAGGCAGGCGGATCTCGGTGAGTTCGAGGCCAGCCTGGGCTACCAAGTGAGCTCCAGGAAAGGCGCAAAGCTACACAGAGAAACCCTGTCTCGAAAAAACCAAAAAAAAAAGAAAAAAAATCTGTGGTTCTTGGGTAAGCAAAGACCTTTTATACAGGGCATAAAAAATATGAGCACTGGCTGGCAAGATGGCTCTGTGGGCAAAGGTACCTGTTACCAAGCCTGATGGCCCGAGTTTCATGCCTGGGACCCAGACTGCTGCCGTGAGGACCAGCCTCCAGCAGTGCATGGAGCTGATGAACTAAGACTTTTTTTATCTGAGGGGGTAAGGGAAAAGACACACACTCTCTCAATGGTTTCCTTCTGACCTTTTCTTTATTCTTCTTTGTAATTTTTTTCTCTACATCTTTCCTGGTGATTTCCTTCTTTCATTCCTGATGTTTTCCTTCTAACTTTCTTATGTTTTGCCTTACAGCTTATATTCCCCAGCAAAATCTTTCAAGCAATATAAAAACTACAATGTGGTTACATTTTATTTTTCAAGTGAGTGATTATAGTGAATACAAGTAAAAAACAGTATGTTTTCCATATCCCTTACATGAGTAAACATTTTACGTGTTACAGGTGAAAATCAAGTTGTTCCAAGAACCCACATACACTCATGTCCAATCAACTTGTTACAGATTAACAGAGTGTGAGCAAGCAGGTATTCTTCTCAGCCAGTTCTTTGGCTGGCAGGCTGCATTTTGTGGTTGCAACAAAGGGACCAATCATTTTATTATTTATCTCAAAAGGTAATCTTATAAGAAATCTTAGAAGAATCACAAATATAAACTTTTATATATGAAAAACAATAAGTCAGCTCTATTTTAAATCCTTGGGGTGTATACTCACTCATCAACAGTTTTTTATACCAGGAAGCTGAGGTTAGAAATGGGTACAAGGAATCATCACCTTTGGTCACCAACACATCCTAACAAGAAAGGTATAATAATAATTGGGCTGCTTGTTTTTGATCCCTGACCTAAGAGTCCCACACTCAGCTATGTGCCTTTCTAAAACTTTAGATTGTCTTCTTGGGTTTTTCACCTCAAAGCTATTTGACAAAAACACCTTAGTCTAACCTTAAGTTATTTCCAAGGCTTTGTTTCAGCTATGATGCACCCCGAAACCTGTGAACACATGTCCCAACATTAAAGTTAAAAGAATTTAAGCTGGCTGGGCTACTGGGACTCAACTGTTTTTCTTTTCTTTCTTTCTTTCTTTCTTTTTCTTTTCTTTTCTTTTTTTTTTT